CTATTGTCCAGAATATAGTGAAGACTATAGTCCAGTCTATAGGGAAGACTTTTGTCAAGAATATAGTGAAGACTTTAGTCCAGACTATAGTCTATATACTATACAGAATACATTCCAATCCATAGACCAGACTTTAGTCAAGAATATAATCAATATTATAGCCCATAATAGCCCAGACCAAACAATAGTCCAGATTGTAGTTTATAATATAGTGCTTAATATAGTAAAGAATGTGGTCCAGAATATAGATTTTAGTCCAGACAATAGCCCAGACTATAGTTCAGAGTATAATCCAGACTATTGGTTTATTGTCCAGTCTATAGATAGAGTATAGTCCAGAAATTCAACCAGTGCAATATGGCCTAGATCACAGACCAGACTATAGTCCAGATTGTAATACAGACTACATAAAGATCATTTTGTATAAAAATTAAAATTACTTGTTTTCAGATAACTTAATCTTAATTTAACACCTGCCTGTCAGCAGTAGGGGTAGTGACTACTTGTTAAAGTGCAAACAATTTTAATTCACGGATAACTGAGGATAAAAACAGGTTTAACAAGCAAATAGCAAAGCTTAATTAATTTACAAAAAAAAAAAATTAAGACTCTAGGGGAAATTGGCAGAAATAGCAAACTAATTGCTAGCAATGTAAACTAAAAGTTAAACAATTAAAACAAATGGTTTACATTTAACTCCTAGTTAAAAAAAATTAATTAAATGACAAACAACTTTATATAAATATAAAAAATCTAACACTACTGACAACCATCTAAATAAGTTTTATGTATTTATAACCAAATCTATTTTAATTGTTTTTTTTTTTTTATAAATTTTATACTTTAACTATAGTTTTACATCCCGTATTCGTGTGACACATAAAATATTAGTTTTAGCTTTTTGGCATTATTTCTCGCGGGTTTTTTTTTTTTTTTTCTTTAAAAAGCCGCCTTTTTATAAGTTTTACATGTTTAGTTTTTTTATATATTTAGTTTAAAATTTCCTACTATATGTTGTACAAGTATACTATATCGTATGCTGTGTATTATTATTGTTTTATTTACAGTATTGTGGTTATTTTGTTTGCTTTTTTTTTTTTTGCTGTAATTTACTATACAATTTCCTAATAATTAAATGCTAAATTATGTACATATACAATTTGTGTACCAACACTTTACTAGTGTCTCACTTTCAATAACAATTTAAATGAATATTGCTAGATTGTATGTTCATAACTATAGTATGATTCCTATTACGAGACAGTAGTAAAAAAATGAATAAATGAGGCTTGCTATAAAGGGGTTGGAGTGTTAATCAGAAATAAAAATTTATGTAAAAAATTTTAATATTTTTTTTAATTCTTAATTTTTACAACATTTAGTGTGAATAGAGCAAAAATTCTTTGGTAGCAAAACTTGTATGTTGGAAAAGTATAAAAATCTAAATTTTCATGCCATTTGAAGAATTTTGTGAAATTCGGATAAAAACGGATAATAGCGGATAACAGGGTTTTAAGGCTAATCAAGCCAGGAAAAGCAGTTTAAACTAATTTCCTAAACATTCTTTATATATTTTAAATTGTTCTTAAACAAATTTATAACTTTTATAGATTTTTCTTTTAAATTTTTCGAAAAAAAATTAAAAAAAAATTGGTAAAGTTTTTCAAATTTGATTTTTTACTAATTGATTTTAATTTTGTAAAAAAATTCTTTTGAAATATAATTTTTATAATCATAAAGATATCAAATCCTGATTTTTAAGCAATTCCAAGCATTTTTTGATATACGGATAAAAACGGATAATAGCGGATAACCGGGTTTTAAGCTAATTTAAAGCGAAAAAAGTATTTTTATGTATTATTCTGTTCATTCTTAATAATTTTAAAGATTTATTTAACAAAATTTTAAATTTTAAAAGATTTTTTTTTTATAAAAAAATATTAAAACTTATTTTTCCAATTTTTTCGACTTGGATTTTTTGCTAAATGCTTTTAATTTTGTGCTTAATTCTTTCGATATATGATTTTTGTAATCATAAAGATTTGTTATACTAAATTTTACTCAAATTCAAGCATTTTTTGATATAGCGGATAACCGGGTTTTAAGCTAATTAACAGCGAAAAAAGTATTTTTATGTATTCTTCAGTATATTCTTAATAAATTGACAGATTTTTTTAACAAAATTTTATATTTAAAAAGATTTTTTTTATATTTTTTAAAGTTTGAAATTAATTTTTTTTTTTAATTTTTTCGTATTTAATTTTTTATAAATGCCTTTAATTTTGAACCAAATTCTTTTGTAATATGATTTTTGTAACCATAAGGATTTGTTATACTCAATTTTACTCAAATTCAAGCATTTATTGATATACGGACAAAAACGGATAATAGCGGATAACAGGGTTTTAAGCTAATTAACAGCGGAAAAAGTATTTTAAAGTATTCTTCAATATATTCTTAATAAATTGTCAAATTTTTTTAACAAAATTTTAAATTTTAAACGATTTTTTTTTATTATTTCTTACAAAAGTTTGAAATTATTTTTTTTTTAATTTTTTCGAATTTAATTTTTTTATAAATGCTTTTAATTTTGAACCAAATTCTTTTGTAATATGATTTTTGTAACCATAAGGATTTGTTATACTAAATTTTACTCAAATTCAAGCATTTTTTCATATACGGATAAAAACGGATAATAGCGGATAACAGGGTTTTAAGCTAATTAACAGCGGAAAAAGTATTTTATTGTATTATTCTGTTTATTCTTAAACATTTTAAAGATTTATTTAACAAAATTTTCAATTTTGAAAAATTTTTTGGAATTTCGAAAAAATTTTTTAAATAAATTTTCTTTAAAATTTAATTTTTCACTCAATTTCATCGATTTTGTTTAAAATTTCTTCAGAAACAAAATTCTAACGTTGCTAAAGATATAAAATTTAAGTTTTTGTTTAATTTAGAGAATTTTTTTAAATACGGATAAAAACGGATAATGGCGGATAACAGGGTTTTAAGCTAATTTAGGGCGGGAAAAGTATTCTAGTGTACTATAACGGTTGTTCTTAATTATTTTAGTGATTCTTATAAGAAAATTTTTAAAATTTTAATAAAATTTTTCAGAGTTTTTCTAAAAACCTTAAAAATTTTTTCTTTCCAATTTAAATTTTGTCTAGAATAGTTGCAATTTTGTAAAAAAAATTCTTTAAAATAACATTTCTATGTTTATAAATCTTTAAGTTACTAATTTCTGTACAATTCCAAACATTTTTAAGAATTCGGATAAAAACGGATAATAGCGGATAATGCACTTTTAGGCAGATTTTTTTATTTATTTTATTTTTGAAACATTTTTGTTAAAAACTTGTCAGAAAATTACACAAATGTATAAAAATTTGTTTAAACTACTTTTTTGTTGAAAAATTTGCATAAAACTGCTTTATCCGGTCTTATCCGTTTTTATCCGATATATCCCAAAATGAGATTTTAAGCTTAAAAATGGATAATTTGCATAGGTAATGTTATAGAGAATGATACTATTTAAAAAAAAAAATAATTTTAAAAAGTATTTCTTAAAATTTTTTTTAATTTTATAAATTGTACACAAAAATTTTAAATTTTCATATAAAAAAGTTTAATTTTGAAAAATGTTGTAAAAAACTTGTTAGAAAATTAGTAAAATGTATAAGAATTTGATCAAACTACTTTCTTATTGAAAAATCTGCATAAAACTGCTTTATCCGGTCTTATCCGTTTTTATCCGAAATTTCTCAAAATGAGATTTTATGCTTAAAAATGGCTAATTTGCATTAGTTTTGTTATAGGGAATGATATTTTGAAGAAAAATGTTTGTTTTAGAAAGAATTTCTTAACATTTTTTTTAAATTTTAAATATTTTACACAAAAATTTTAAATTTTCAAAATTTTCAATTACAAAAAGTTTAATTTTAAAAAATTTCTTAAAAAACTTGTTAGAAAATTAGAAAAATTTATAAGAATTTGATCAAACTACTTTTTTATTGAAAAATCTGTATAAAACTGCTTTATCCGGCCTTATCCGTTTTTATCCGAAATTTCTCAAGTTGGGATTTCAAGCTTAAAAAAGGCTAATTTGTTTAAATTTCTTTAAAAATCGATTAACTTCCATAAATTTTTATTAAAATTTCATTATTTTAAAGAAAATTTTGTAACTTTTCTCTTTTGGGTTTGACCTAACCCCTTATTTTGGTCTGTAACAGGTTGCTGTTGCTTTTTATATGATAAAATAATCTGTCTGTCTGTTAGCAATTAATACTTAAGCGAGAGACAGAGTTATTAATTAATTATTAAAATATAATTTTTCTAATGATTTTTAAGAGGAAAAGTAATAATTTAAACAAAACTAACTGTGGCAGTTAATAATAGAAAAATATGTTAAATAATGTTGAAAAAACGAAGAATTTTAATTGAAAAATAAGTTTAAAGGTGTTAAAAAGAATTTCAATTACTCATTTTAGTATAAATAATGATGTCATTATTTTATTACAATACATTTTTCAAAAAAGATTTACAAAACAGGAAGTTTTGGAAAAGTTAAATGAAAAGTAAAATAGATTTCTTCATATAAATAATGATGAATAATATTGAGGGAACTTAAACAATGAAATCATTTAAAGTATTATTATTTTATAATTTTTTTTATCAAAGATTTTGATAAGATAAAATTTTTTTGGAAAAATAAAACATTTTTTTCACTCCACTAAAGCACGAGGAAAGGCGGCGGCGGCAGGTGTATTGGGTGTACCAAAAACAAAAAATAACTTGTAACCCACATAACAAGCTCAATAATGTTAAAGTTTACTGATTCCCGTATTGTTATCATAATTTTCTATTTTTTGTTGTAGCAAGACTAAACTCTATTATCTAATCTTATCAGTTATAGAACCCATACACTTGCCATACACAATCAGTACTATAATAAAGAAAATAAAGAGGGATTGCAAAAGCTACAAGTTTCTATAGAATATTTCATAAAATTTTTGTAGTTTGAAAAAGAAAAAATAAGAAAAATATAGGTTTTACGATATCATTTGTAGCCGTACGGTGTCAGTTAACGAACGAAAAACGCAACGACAAGAAGAATAAAGTTAAAAAGACTTTATTTTGGAGAAAATTTTTACAAAAAAATATCTGAAAAAAACTAATTAGCTAAAAATAAACGAAAATGGTGTCTGTAGAAACAATTGGCTCTATATTTATCAAGGCCTTGAAATTGGTAAAAAGAAAATTATTACATAAAAAGTTAATTTCCTGAAAATTATAAACAATTTTTATATAAATTTCGTAAACAAAAATAAAAAAAAAATCTTTAAAAACGTTAAAAAACCAAACAAAGTGCTTAAAATTAAATAATTCTAAACAAAAATAAAAGTTTTATTAACTGATATCCAGCAAAGAAATGACTCACTGCTTAAAGCTAAATGAAGTTAAAAAATCAATTTAAAAAACAATTTAAAAATTACAAATACAAAAATTTTATGAAAGAGTTTCATTAAGAATAACCTAGTTAATACTTAAAACTACTTTTCCCGCCTTGAAACAGCTTAAAACCCCATTATCCGCTATTATCCGTTTTTATCCGTAAATCCAAAGTTAAAGCAAAATGTCTAGTAATAAACAAAACTCATAGTCCAGTGGCTAAAAATCATATTATCAAATTATTTTGAATATTTTGGACAATATTTTAGAAAAAAATTAATATTTTTTAAATTTTTATAAAATATTTTTAAGAAAAATTTTAAAAATTCTAATAAAATTTATAAGATTGTATATAAAAAGCCTCAAAAACATTAAGCAGAATGTTCAAGATACATTTTAACACTTTTCCCTCTTTAAATCAAACTAAAACCCCCTTATCCGCTATTATCCGTTTTTATCCGCAAGTCCAAAACTAAAACAAATAACTCTTAATGAGTTTAGAAATCATATTTTAAAAGAAATTTTAACAAAATTAAAACTATTTTAAGAGAAAATAAAATTTTTTAAAATTTGCAATTTTAGAAATCCTAAAAAAAAAAATTATTCAAAATTTACAATTTTGTATAATAAAAGCTTACAAAATACTGAAATCAACTTAAATAAAATATTTTTAAACTTGTTCCACCTTAAATTGGCTTAAAACCCTGTTATCCGCTATTATCCGTTTTTATCCGAAATTTTTAAAAATGCTCCGATTGTTCTAAAAATTAAGATTTGAAATCTTTGTGAATTTAATAAACATAAAACAAAAACAAATTTACCAAAAAAGCTTCTCTAGCAACAAAAATTTTAATTCAAATAAATTTTCATTTAAAAATTATTTTTTTTTTTTTTTAAATTAATAAAAAATAATAAAAATTCACAAAATTTTAGAGAAAAAATTCTCACACTCATTAAGCACAACCTTAATAATACATTAAACCTCCTTTCCCGCCTTAATTTAAACTAAAAACCTATTATCCGCCATTATCCGTTTTTATCCGCGATACCAAAAATGCTGCGATTTGCATAAAAATTGAGATTATGAATGTTTACAAGCAGATTAAACATAATTTAAAAGAATTTTTATGCTTATCTGAATATTTTTCAAAAAATTTTCTATTTGAAAATATTTTAATTTTAAAATTTTTGAAAAAATTCTTAAAATTTTTTTAAAATTTGTAAATTTTTCTAGAAAATACTTAAAATCATTAAGAGTATTCTAAATAATACATTAAACCTTCTTTAAGGCCTTAATTTAGCTTAAAAAAAATCTGCGATTTGCATAAAAATTGAGATTTTGGTACTTAATAATCTAAAAAATCGAAATTTGAAAGAATTTTTAACAAAAACAAATTTATTTTAATTAAATTTAAAATTTAAAAAAATTATTGAAAATTTTTTGTAAAAAAATTACTTAATTTTTAAAAATTTGTTTAAGAAAAAATTAAAAGCCTTTAAGAATAATCTGAATAACATATTAAAACACTTTTTCAGTGTTAACTGATATTAATATCCTGTTATCCGTTTTTAGCCATGTTTATTCGTTTTCCTTAAAAATGCTTAAATGATTAAAATTACAAAGTTTTTTTTTAATTATTTTCATTAAAAACTTTACTTTTTTTAAAATTTGTCTTTTTTTTTACTCTAATGATTCATTGAAAAAACGCAAAAGTATATTTCTTAATCAACCACTCCCAAAAGCGTGGTCAAATCAAACAAACAAAATTTCATAAATATTATTACTTTTATTATATATATGTACATATGCACATCGGACGTAGTAGTTAATACCATATATGCCATAGTAGTAGTATGAATATTCATTTTTAAAGCAAAAAAAAAAAAAACACCCATACCACAAAACCATTGAAATAATATGAGTAATTGATAACCAAAATGTTTCAAGGTAGTAAGTATTTTGTATTTTTACAACAGAGGAAAAAACACTGATAAAGAATTAATATTATCAAAAAAATAATATAAATAATAAATAAAAAAAATATTACACATTTAACGAAATAATTTCAAGAAAAAAGACAAATTTTAAAAATAGGAACAAAAATTTAAGCTTTAGCTGAAACAGACAGACGGACTTAAAAAACTAATAATAACCGAAACCTGTTCAAATTTTATTTAAAATTTTAATAATTTAATGTTTTAGAATGACAGTAATCTTTTTGAAATAATTAAAACCCTTAAAGAAATGTCTATGCTTCAAAACGGTTAAAAGCGGATAAAAACAAGTATTTGAATGATTTAACACATAAACAACACGTTTTTTTAAAGATTTTTATAAGAATTATAAGTTTTTCTTTAATAAAAAACTTAAGAAATAATGAAAAATGAAAAAAAAAGCAACGAATAATTTGAACCGGATAAAAAACCGGTTACAAAATTATTCAAATTAAAACGAAAATTATAAAATTTAATAGTTTTTAAAGTAAATAAAGCAAAATCAGTTGATTTGAAACATTTTTCTAAGAAATTGTTTAATAAATAATAAGAAACGAATAAAAACCGGTTATAAAATTATTCGATTAATAACGTAAAATATAATTCTTAATAGTTTTTAAACTAAATAAAGCAAACCAAGTTGATTAATACAGTTTTTTTTTTGGAAATCTCTTAGCGAATAATAAAAAACAAATAAAAACCGGTTAAAAATTAAGCGAATAATAACAAAAGTAAAAAATTGTAATAGTTTTTAGTTTAGTTTATTTTAGTTAATGCACATTTTAGGGAAATTTGTTAACGAATAATAAGAAACGAATGAAAACCGGTTACAAAATTATTCGAATAATAACGAGTATTATACGTTTTAATAGTTTATAAACGAAATAAGAAAAACCTGATAAATTTATGCACATTTTATACAAATTTATTAACAAAAAAGAAAAAAAAAACGAATAAAACCCGGTTAAAAAATTATTCGAATAAAAAAGCAAAATAGAATTATTAATAGTTTTTAAACTAAATAAAAGAAACCAAGTTGATTAATGTAAATTTTTAGCAAATCGGTTGACGAATAAAAGCCGATTAAAAAATATTCGATTAATAACAATTTTTATACGAATAATAACTTAAAATATAATTCTTAACAGCTTTTAAATTAAATAAAGAAAAACTGGTCGAATAATCCAATTTTTCGTAAATTGGCAAACGAATAATAGAAACCGAATAAAAAACCGATAACAACATTATTCGAATAATAAAAAAATTATACGTTTTAACTGTTCTTAAACTAAATAAACAAAAATAGCCTGATAAATTTAAAATTTTCGGAAATCGATTAACGGATAATACGAAATGAATAAAACCGGTTACAAAATTATTCGAATAATAATGATTTATACAATTCTTAACAGTTTTTAAACTCAGTAAAGGAAAATCAATTGATTACTGCAAATTTTACGAAAATTGGCTGAAGAAAACTATAAACCGAATAAAAACCGGTTACAAAATTATACGAATAATAAGGAAAAATAATAAGTTTTATTAGTTTTTAAACTAAACAACGAAAACCCATTTAATTAATGTAAATTTTTAGGAAATTGGTTAAATTATACAAAGAACCGAATTAAAACCGGTTACAAAATTATTCGAATAATAACGAAAATTATAAGTTTTAGTAGTTTTAAAAATAAATGAAGAAAAACAGATTGATAAATTGGGAATTAATAAGAAATCTGTTAACGAATAATAAGAAAGGAATAAAAACCGGTTACAAAATTATCCGTATAGAGAAATTTTTAACCATTACTCTATTTAAAAGAAAAATATTAGTTTAGACGTTATTTTTAAGATTTTTTATTGATAATCGGGTTTTATTCGTATAAAATTTGTAATCGATTAAAAAAATTAATCGAATAAAATTGTTTATAATTCATTTATAATTCTATTTAAAAGGAAAATATTTGCTTAAACTTTATTTTTAAGATTTTCTATTGATAATCGGTTGTTATTCGAATAAAATTTTTAATCGATTAAACAAATTAATCGAATAAATTTGTTTATAATGCCAAATGATTAACAATCAACAAGATTTCTTAAGTTTATGTAAGAGTTTTATTCGATTTTAAATATGATTGGAATAAAAATCTATATAAATTGCTATTCGACTAAAAATTTATTCGATTAAATGTATTGTTGTAACTCAATTTCTCTTTTCAGGTCCTTAATTTAATCATTTTAATCTTATATCGTATCGGTGATGGCGGTGAATTCTTGGGTGTGGGCGGTACTTGGAATCTAAATGAGGAGAAAAGTGCCGATTGTGAAATCGTGGCCTCGGGAGTAATGGTGGGCTTTTTCATCTATACCGGTTGCCATACCATAGCCTATCTGTTTGGCACCACCAAACACAAGAGGTAAGTCCTTCCCCTACCCTCTAAATTTTTATAATAGAATTTCATTTCCCCATTTTCAGAGAACTTTCCGATACCATAATGAACGTAGTGGGCACTTTCATGTGGGTGGCTGTGGGCGGTACTGCTCTCCACTACTGGAAGGGTTATATGAAAGACAATGATTTCCTATATGTGGCCTCCGAAAGACAAGTGGGTATTGCTATGGGTGCTTTGTGTGTTATAGAGGGAGCTCTGTATCTATTGGATACCGTTTTGGCCTGCATACACTACTCCAAGGGTGATACCGATTATGTGCAGTAAATGAACAAATTCGAGAGAGAACCATCAACAGCAGTAGTTCAGCAAACGAATATATATATTTTTTCATACCCATATATCTTTTTTTTTAATTTTTAAAACATAAGTTCAAATTAGTTTTAAAACAAATTTTGACAAATTTTTCATTAAACCAACTTAAACCATAAGAAATTTTTAACATATTTTTTCAAAGATTACAAAAAATCAGACAAAAATTTAGAACAAACGAAGAGAAAACTTTACTACTTCAAAATTTGTAAGTCCTTCTTAAATTACTGGACACTTTTTAAAAGGTATTTTTAATTACTTAAGTCAATTTTAAGTTTCTTACCAAATTAAAATCCTACCAAAAATTGTCAAATGCATTTTTATTTTTATTAAAAGTTTAAGATTCAAAAGAGACAACTGTATATTCATAATATCTTCTTAACTAATTAATAAAGACTTTTTTGAAAGAAACTCGACCAAAAACATGTCTCTCAAATAAAGACTCTTCCCCCGCATTCATAATGACGATTTATTATAGAATACCGGGTTTAAGAAATAAATTTTAAACCAATATCTAGGAAAGTTTTATTTAAAATCAATTTCATAATTTAGAGGTGGTCCACTTTTGCTCCCGGCTGCCACCTAGTTCTTGGAATAAATAGGGTTGTATTTTATCTTCCAGAGTTGATTTCAATAGTAGTAATTATTATACAATTAAAGCATAACTTTAGGCTTTCTCGCAAAAAGATAAAAATAGTTTATCAACTAGAACAGAATTAGAACAGAACGAGAACAGAACTAGAACAGAACTAGAACAGAACTAGAACAGAACTAGAACAGAACTAGAACAGAACTAGAACAGAACTAGAACAGAACTAGAACAGAACTAGAACAGAACTAGAACAGAACTAGAACAGAACTAGAACAGAACTAGAACAGACTAGAACAGAACTAGAACAGAACTAGAACAGAACTAGAACAGAACTAGAACAGAACTAGAACAGAACTAGAACAGAACTAGAACAGAACTAGAACAGAACTAGAACAACTAGAACAGAACTAGAACAGAACAGACTAGAACAGAACTAGAACATAGCTAGAACAGAACTAGAACAGAACTAGAACAGAACTAGAACTAGAACAGAACTAGAACAGAACTAGAACAGAACTAGAACAGAACTAGAACAGAACTAGAACAGAACTAGAACAGAACTAGAACAGAACTAGAACAGAACTAGAACAGAACTAGAACAGAACTAGAACAGAACTAGAACAGAACTAGAACAGAACTAGAACAGAACTAGAACAGAACTAGAACAGAACTAGAACAGAACTAGAACAGAACTAGAACAGAACTAGAACAGAACTAGAACAGAACTAGAACAGAACTAGAACAGAACTAGAACAGAACTAGAACAGAACTAGAACAGAACTAGAACAGAACTAGAACAGAACTAGAACAGAACTAGAACAGAACTAGAACAGAACTAGAACAGAACTAGAACAGAACTAGAACAGAACTAGAACAGAACTAGAACAGAACTAGAACAGAACTAGAACAGAACTAGAACAGAACTAGAACAGAACTAGAACAGAACAGACTAGAACAGAACTAGAACAGAATTATAACAGAACGAGAACAGAACTAGAACAGAACTAAACTGAACTAGAACAGAACTAGAAAGAACTAGAACAGAACTAGAACAGAACTAGAACAGAACTAGAATAGAACTAGAATAGAACTAGAACAGAACTAGAACAGAACTAGAACAGAACTAGAACAGAACTAGAACAGAACTAGAACAGAACTAGAACAGAACTAGAACGAACTAGAACAGAACTAGAACAGAACTAGAACAGAACTAGAACAGCACTAGAACAGAACTAGAACAGAACTAGAACAGAACTAGAACAGAACTAGAACAGAACTAGAACAGAACTAGAACAGAACTAGAACAGAACTAGAACAGAACTAGAACAGAACTAGAACAGAACTAGAACAGAACTAGAACAGAACTAGAACAGAACTAGAACAGAACTAGAACAGAACTAGAACAGAACTAGAACAGAACTAGAACAGAACTAGAACAGAACTAGAACAGAACTAGAACAGAACTAGAACAGAACTAGAACAGAACTAGAACAGAACTAGAACAGAACTAGAACAGAACTAGAACAGAACTAGAACAGAACTAGAACAGAACTAGAACAGAACTAGAACAGAACTAGAACAGAACTAGAACAGAACTAGAACAGAACTAGAACAGAACTAGAACAGAACTAGAACAGAACTAGAACAGAACTAGAACAGAACTAGAAAAACTAGAACTGAACTAGAACTGAACTAGAACTGAACTAGAACTGAACTAGAACTGAACTAGAACTGAACTAGAACTAGAACTGAGAACTAGAACTGAACTAGAACTGAACTAGAACTGAACTAGAACTGAACTAGAACTGAACTAGGACTGAACTGGAACTGAACTGGAACTGAACTGGAACTGAACTGGAACTGAACTAGAACTGAACTAGAACTGAACTAGAACTCAACTAGAACTGAACTAGAACTGAACTAGAACTGAACTAGAACTGAACTAGAACTGAACTAGAACTGAACTAGAACTGAACTAGAACTGAACTAGAACTGAACTAGAACTGAGAACTAGAACTGAACTAGAACTGAACTAGAACTGAACTAGAACTGAACTAGAATTAGAACTGAACTAGAACTGAACTAGAACTGAACTAGAACTGAACTAGAACTGAACTAGAACTGAACTAGAACTGAACTAGAACTGAACTAGAACTGAACTAGAACTGAACTAGAACTGAACTAGAACTGAACTAGAACTGAACTGAACTGAACTGAACTAGAACTGAACTAGAACTGAACTAGAACTGAACTAGAACGAACTAGAACTGAACTAGAACTGAACTAGAACTGAACTAGAACTGAACTAGAACTGAACTAGAACTGAACTGAACTGAACTGAACTGAACTGGAACTGAACTAGAACTGAACTAGAACTGAACTAGAACTCAACTAGAACTGAACTAGAACTGAACTAGAACTGAACTAGAACTGAACTAGAACTGAACTAGAACTGAACTAGAACTGAACTAGAACTGAACTAGAACTGAACTAGAACTGAACTAGAACTGAACTAGAACTGAACTAGAACTGAACTAGAACTGAACTAGAACTGAACTAGAACTGAACTAGAACTGAACTAGAACTGAACTAGAACTGAACTGAACTAGAACTGAACTAGAACTGAACTAGAACTGAACTAGAACTGAACTAGAACTGAACTAGAACTGAACTAGAACTGAACTAGAACTGAACTAGAACTGAACTAGAACTGAACTAGAACTGAACTAGAACTGAACTAGAACTGAACTAGAACTGAACTAGAACTGAACTAGAACTGAACTAGAACTGAACTAGAACTGAACTAGAACTGAACTAGAACTGAATTAGAACAGAACAAGAACTAAACTGGAACTAAACTACAACTTAACTAGAACTGAACTGTAACATAAAAAAATTATAAAAGCTATATTAGTTGCTAGGTCACTAAACTATAATTTATTAAATAATATATGTATATATATTTTTTTTTTTTTGCCAAAAAATAATGTTAATAAATTTTAGCAAAAAAAAAACAGACATCTGTTTGTAATAAATTAATCGAAAAACTTATGTATGTATCATTCTAGTTCTCATGTTCGTTTTTAATTAAAGCTGCCTAGTACAGACACCCCAAACCCAGGCAGTAAGTCGTTCGGTTCCCTCATCTCTTAAATGGCGCGTAATACATTTCAATAGCAGACAATTGTCTTAAATTATTAAGCGTATTGTCTTAATTAAACTTGACTCAAAACAAATATTTGAACAAGACATTTAAAATTAATCTATAGTATTTTAAAGCAGTATACCAACAGTTATTTTCTAGAGAAAATCAGGGTCCCAAAGGTAATTTTCAAAGTAACTTGGAAAACTTATTCTTGGTTAAAATCTTTCTTAAATATAGCTTTTTATGGACACTCACCTGAACTTTAACTGCTGCATCGACAACATCCTGACCCGCCTTCGTGCGCTCCGTACTGATCTGACTGGCACAACGTTTATAGTAGGGCCTTTTTCTAGCCGTTAAAGGCGTCGAGGCCAAATCCAATATATCCACTAAATCACTATCTAAGATATACGAATTACGCGAAATGTCATTTAGTAACTCGAGTTTACGCGAATCCAAACTTTCACGATACACATTACGCGGTTTATCCAAATTATGCTCATAATCCGGATCCATATGAAAACTATTACGAGAGGCACTACGACGTTTAGCTAATTCACGCGCCGACCCGTGTAGAGAGGAGGAAGTTTTACGACGTCTTACCACTGTTTGCGGGGTAATAAAGGGAGAGGTGGTGGTGGCATTAGAGGGAGTACAGGGAGAGGGTAGTATATAGGAAGAGTTATCCGATATCAGGGAGTTGTCGGGAATTAGGGAGGAATTTAAAGAAGGATCCATAAGACTAACTTGTGAGAGTTTGCGTTCTAATTGCTTTTCATAGCTATTGAATTTGTCATAGTCGATGAAGGACATATTCTCATAACTGACCATATTGTCTACTGCCTGCAGGGACTGAAGCGAGGCCCGCCATTTGTCATTTAATTTATCCTTTTTCTTTTCCGAACTTAAGCCAAAAGTGGTCTTAAAGGAGGATATTAAGGTGGAGGAACGACGTTTTTTAAAATTGGCCACCGGATCAAAGGCAGCATCTTGTGTTAATACGGGAGTAGAGGTTTTGCGCAGTTGAGCCGGGGAAGTCTCGACAGGCGTGGAAGTGGCCTGATTAGCCATAGACTGAGGCCTTAGTGGGGTATTATTATCGTTATCGTTATTTTCTATGGAATTCTTACGTGGCGAAGCCGGTGAGGTGGGATCTTCTTCCGATAATTGCTCTAGTTGAGGTTCTATCAAACTGCGACGATTTGTACGTCGTGGTAAAATCATGGAACGACTGCGGGTAAACTTAAAAGGTAACTCACTATCGTCTTCGATTTTATTTAAACTCTCCTTACTGCTGGTTATCGAATTGATAAGTTTCGAGAGTTTACCTTTTAAAGAGAAACTACCGGATCTTTCAAATTTGGGTGGGCCGCCAGCTAAAAGTGTTTGGGAATTGCTATTGATAAGTTGTTTTTGTTGTTGCTGTTGTTCATAGTATTCACGCAATTTTTGACTGATATTTGTGTTGTTATTGGTTTCATTAAGATTATTATTGTTGCTATTAATATTATTGTTATTGTGATTAACGGCAGTTGTTGTGGGGTTTTTGGAGTTTTTGGCAGTTTGTAAAG